GGACATACCAAACNCTTCTGTCAAATGCCCTTAAATAAAAACTTGTGCATTAGGTACGACTAAATCATATTCTTAACTAACCCGCATGTGTAGCCCTGTAGTGTAGAGTTGGACCTAGATGAATCGTAGACCCGGACGTTAGAGGTTCGACTCTTGTTGGTATCTCTCGGGCTTAATTGACACTTGTAATGTATGGGTGATTGTAGGTATCCAAAGTTTATTCTTTGCAGAAATAGATTCAAAGTGACTCTATCTTGGAGAGATTCACCGTTATCAAAAAAAAATCTTAGTCTTCAATCTAGGGCATTTATTTAGGTTTGTGTGAGACGATGAATAACTTTTTTTTGGCCAACTTGAAGAGAAATAGAAGGAAAANCTTTAGCATATGAAGGCCGAAAAGACCAAGACTTTTGAGTGCGTATTTATTCTTCATTTCTCATTAAACTTCATTGAGGAAATAAATGAGCTTCTTAGATACTTTTTTGCTACCTTGGAAATGAATTTTCACCAATTTCGGGGCATAGAATAAAAATATAAGCCACACCCATTAGATTTAAGTTCAAAAATCAATTACTTCTGTCAAATGCCCTTAAATAAAAACTTGTGCATTAGGTACGACTAAATCATATTCTTAACTAACCCGCATGTGTAGCCCTGTAGTGTAGAGTTGGACCTAGATGAATCGTAGACCCGGACGTTAGAGGTTCGACTCTTGTTGGTATCTCTCGGGCTTAATTGACACTTGTAATGTATGGGTGATTGTAGGTATCCAAAGTTTATTCTTTGCAGAAATAGATTCAAAGTGACTCTATCTTGGAGAGATTCACCGTTATCAAAAAAAAATCTTAGTCTTCAATCTAGGGCATTTATTTAGGTTTGTGTGAGACGATGAATAACTTTTTTTTGGCCAACTTGAAGAGAAATAGAAGGAAAATTGGGGTGTTTTTGGTAAAAGTCTATAGTAGAAGTTACAAGTTGTTCTTCAACTAGGGTATTGTTTTAGTCCATAAGACAACAACATGCCTCAGGACAGAGATGAAGGTGAGAGGTGGGCCAATGGATGGGCTCGTCTTGAACCCCTGGGCTGGCTCGGTCGGCAGTCAAATTCTGAGTTTCTTCCACTTGTGGATTGATTATGACTAATTCCAACAAACAATTTAATTTTAGCTTTTTTGGAATTACTTGTATTATTATTTTTATTTATAAGGACTATTTTAAGTATTAATTTTTTTATTTTTTATTTTTTTCCTTGTCAGAACTTGCTATTGTCTTCTTTTAACCATAATCCCATATATTTAATACATGAATATGAATAACATAATTTATGTACTAAAATGTATTTATGCTACTGTTGTAAAATAATAATTAATTAATCCTTTTATATTTTATTTGGAATTTTTTTAAGTCAACCAAACGGTACCTAAATTTCTAGGGAAAACCAACCAAATTTGACTACAGAATTGAAAAATAATTCAGAGTACATATAAAAACTTTATCAAATAATAATTAAATAATCCTTTTCTCTCCTTTTATTTGGTAATTTTTAAAAATTCAACCAAACGAGTACTTAAATTTCTCGAGGGAAGCAACCAAATTTGACTAAAAAAATCAAAAGATAGTTTAAAGTACAACAGCTAACACCAACCACAATGAGAAAATATTTAAATATAACGGTGATATTATATCATTTCCGACAAAGAGAAGTGGCGTTCACTCTTTTTAGCCGATTATTTTCTATTAGATGGTGAAATCACATAACAACGTTCTATCGAATACTTACTCCAAGTCAACGTGGTCCTGTTCTCGAAGCTTCGATTGAAACTAAATTGGACCATATAAAAAGATGAGAATATTATTGGCCTCATTATTGGCATTAGAGAAAAAGGTGGGGCCCGTTGGGAAAAAAAACAACATGTTTTGACAATGAAGATTATTTAAAAGTATTGGTCGTTATCAAAGTCAAAAAAGTATTATTCATGGGATGAAAACTCTTATTAGATATTCTCCCGATAAAAGTCGGAATATAACTTTTAATAGGGGTTTAACAAAACAATTTGTTGAGACCATAGAAACAATGTGGTGTATTTTTCTCATATTCTTTTATTTGGTTCCTTATTTGGGTCATAATGAATATCTTTATGCAATCTCCTTTTGTACATTAAACTTTACTTGTCAATTCCTCCATTATTATGTGTTATTTTAGGTGTGAATGGTGCTAAAAAATGGGTCTGAATCGGATCAGATTCCGATGTCGACCCATTTGAATTCCAATACTTCAATATGAATCCAATCCATATATCTGAATAATTATATTTTCGCAGTTCATATCTAAATTTATTAAAAATTAAAATTCAATCTAAGAAGATTTAGTTAGATATCATGATTTTTAATGAATAATACATGCATTTCTAACTCAAATGATCACACAATCCCACCATAGAATTTATTTACATGTATTGTAACCAAATTAGAACCCATGAAATATGACATAAGATTCGGACATCAATCGAATATGCAACTCTATTCAAATAACCAAATTTAGAGTCTAATAGAAATTTGAGTAAACTACCAACATGACCCCTATACTATTTCATTTATGTCAATTTAGCCTAGCCACTAGTATAATCTGTCTCAACATGGCCCTTCCGTTATCACGTGATGTATACATGTATGGTCTTAACTACCCCTAATTTCTAACTCATGTGATGTGTACATGAGGTTTTCTGTCAAACTTAACAGTGAATTTGAATGAACAAACCACGTTGAGAAAAATTGTATAGTTGAGAGTTTAAATTAACACAAAAAATAATTCAAAAGATTTAATTGACACAAATAAAATAATTTATGGTAAAAAGGTTATGAAACTACTACCCAAGCTGGTAGTCTAGTGGTAAGTCGCACTCGTTTATGATTGTCCTTAACTGTTATAAAGTAAAGTTTGATCTACGAGAATAATACAATTTGTTGCTTAACTTTAATTGTATTTGTGATCACGGATTATCCTTTTGACTTAATAGTTAAGGATTAAATCAGACATTTCACAGTTAAGAGATCCTCGTGGTCTCGCCCAATGGGTTTCTACTACCTATTAGTCATCACTTCCCTCTTTTAACCAGCAAAAAAAAAAAAAAA